GAGTAACCAATCTTCTCATAGCAGCTTAAAAAAGTAAAATTCTAGCATCGTTAAATGACAATAAAGATTAAACTGTTAACAGAATAAAAGTGTTAATTGGTTTTAACTGCTCTGTGGAAAAGCTGTGCTTTGAAGAATTTCATTATGTTCTATAATTAAACATTAAATTTTAAATACTGAATAGAAATACCACTGGGTTTTTAGGAACATGCTCCTGCTCTACCCCATTACTGAGAGTTTAAAATTTCTGTGTGCATGTAGAATAAATATTTGGTTATTAAATATGTATACAACATTGCAAAACTTAGTGAGAATGAAATTATACAGCTGTGAAGATGGGCAAAATTGCCAGATGTCAACTAATTCATCTGTTGCAAAATTTTATCTAGAGTCCCACAAAATGTTATTTTAAAATGTCTACACTTACTTTTTTAAGTCAAGTGTTTCCATAATTTTTGACTTGGTAAATTTCTTTCACACATGTGGGAAGAAAGAGTGATATTTCAAAGTCACGTCTTCATAGAGAGCCAAGCTTGAGAGTTACAGACAAGAAAAGGAGGGTATGGTCTAGTAGTTCAATGCTAGGAATTTTTTCTCCAGAAAATTCCTCCATGCACCATGTTAGGGCTGATTCTGCCCTTGAAGACAACTAAAAAGGAGCACCTCCTTTGGAGTTCAGTTTCCTTCAAATATATACAGCCACATGATCCTTGGTTATTTTTTATTTATTAGAACATAGCAGAGATAAGTCTGACAGTACTGTTATTTCAAGTGATTCTGGATATGAGTGGTAAAGCTGAATAAAGAGGATATTCTTAGATTCCAGAAAGAAATGTAATTTGAAAAACAGACATTTAGGGAAAAGACTAGGAATTTTACATTCTTACTGCATTAAAATATATTGACTCCTTAGCACATGCTGGCAGTGTCAGATGGAAGGGTTCCCAAGGCCAGCCTCCAGCTCAACACTTCTCTAGAAAACTCACAAGACTCAGAAAAACACACTGTGCTCACAGTTTGGTTCACCACCATGAGAAATAAGATTAAAATCAGCAAAGAGTTAAGTCACAAGGGATAAAGACCAGGAGAGTCCAGGCAAAAGCTTCCAAGGCCCCTCACAGTGGGGTTATATGAGGACACCCTTAATTCTCTCAGCAATGACATGTGACAACACATGCAGTGCCATAAACCAAAGAAGTCCCCTGAGCCACGATGTCCAAGGTTTTTATTGGGGGTCAGTCACGTAGGCATGCCCTAGGACTGACTCAGCTATACAGGCTCCACCAAAGTAAAGACAGGCATTCCTGCTAGGCTGTCTCTTGTTGGGATAAATATATATGATAAAATGGATACAGCATGGCCCAAGGTCTCAGACTTACAGAAATAGGCAGAATGTTCCAAAGGCCCAGAGATCATATCCCAGAAGCCAGCCATAGGCCATCCTAAAATTAGGAATGAAGAATGTGCAAGGTTTGAATAACCAACTGGGGCCTACTAAATTAACTCTTTCCTGCCAACTATCACATGCATTACTTCATTTACTTCAAAAAAAAATACTAATAAAATCTTGTTGCCGAGTTAATAAGTAAAATAACTGGCTCACGTTAATCCCCCATTGCCCTCTTCATGGCCCTAAACTTCTCCCAGGTAGCACATATCTCCCTGGTAGCTCAGGCTTCAAACAGTGGCTAGGTTATAGTAGTTACTTGAAAAATATATAAATTTATATGACAGGCTAGAGCATCGTGGTTGAAATTGGTGCCCTAGTCTTTTTAATCCCATATTGTTACGATTTTCCTATATCATGGTGTCAAAAACAAATAAAGAAAATTCTGGAAACAAATGTGGCAGTTCTGTTTACCTCTTAAAATTTTTAATAAGGCCCTAGAATATCCCTCAGAGCTGAAAGAAACCTCAGATTATATTATCCAACATTCAGTTTTAAGATTAAAAAAAAAAAACTTTCATTTTGTACAGAGAGATTGTTAGATATAAAGAGATTACATTTGCAGTTGTCTGCAAATATCAATAGAATTTTAGTTTGAAGTAAGGACAAATATGTCATCCCTATTTTCCTTTTTTCACAAAATAAATGCAATTGAGGAATGTGTATCTTGTTGGCAAGGGAGTCCGAGGTTTCAGATTAACTAACACCTCTGTTTTAGCTTTTCCCAAGTTAAGAAAATAATTCTTTGGGTTCATTTGCTCTTTTTGTCATATTTCTTTCTAACATTTGTTTTCTGTATCACAGTCTTTAAAATGCTTTACAAATATAGCTTCTAATTTGTCCTCCTGTGGGTCCCATGTATCATCTCTCACTCCTCTTCGATGAAATGGTGACCTATGGAGAAGGTTCTGTAGTCCAGTCATTATCAAACGCTAATGTGTGTGTGGGTCACCTGGGGATGTGTTAAATGCAGATTTAAGTTTAACAGCCTGGACAAGCTTCCAAGCAGGCAGATGCTACTGATTTGTGGACCACGCTTTGAGGAGCGAGTCAAATGCCATCTAAATTATTTCTTCTTTCTCCTAATTATCTTCTCTAGTATTGGCTCACTACCTCAAGACTATTTAGACAGATATGAAGCATTCTGTTTCCTAACAGCCCCTAAAGAACACATTTTAAACAATAACGAGAGACACCTAGAGTATTAGTCCATTTTCACACTCCTATAAAGAAATACCCAAGACTGGGTAATTTATAAAGGAAAGAGGCTTGACTCGGTTGCACATGGCTGCAGAGGCTTCAGGAAACTTACAGTCATGACAGGTGGTGAAAAGAAAGCAAGGACCTTCTTCATTTGGTGGTAGGAGAGAGAAGAGCAAAGGAGGAACTTCCAAACACTTACAAACCATCAGATCTTATGGGAACTCACTATCAGGAGAGCAGCATGTTACAAACCACCCCATGATCCAGTCGCCTCCCTCCCCCTCCCTCCCACATGTGGGGATTACAGGTCCCTCCCTCGACACATGGAAATTTCAATTCGGGATGAGATTTGGGTGGGGACACAGAGCCAAACCATGTCACCTAGCCCATTTATTCCAACATGGCTGATAATAAACATGAGCTTCATCTAGGCTACATACAAACTCTGAAGAAAGAGCATCTTCTCCCTAAAGTTTCTTTGCTTTTCATGCTGTTTTAAATGCCTTATTTCATGATCAAAAAATGAAGCTGACAGTAGTTTATATTTCAGTGACCAAAATCCCTCCTGTAAGCATACAAGCTTCTGCATGGGGCAGAGTTACATCCCAGGAAGTGGACAAGCACTGGAGCTTTACATCTCAATGACTGACTGTGAAATAACAATTTGTGTTTTCATTACCTCATTTCCAAAGGCTAATAAGCACTGTTTTTCAGATGACTGTAAACAAAGCGCAGCCTCAAACAAGATGCATTCCCTCCTTATCAATGGTTTTGTTGCTGCTGCTCCTTACGCCTCTGAATCAAAGAAAGCTCATTTGTTTCACTTTGTGAAAACTCCTCGTTGTTCCCCCAGACTTTCCATTTCACGCTGGGTGAATTTTATTAAGATCTCTTTCAGAGAAGCTAAGTGCTGGCTCTGTAGGGCCCTAAGCGACCACAGCTGCAGCCTCTATAACGTCTGAAGCCACTTGAGACAATTTTTCTCTATTGAAAACTCCTTGGAGAACCATAGAGAAGAATCTAAAATCTTTTTGGTGCTTAGCTTCTCCTCATAAATATTTTGATGTTATAACTTGAAAATTGCTTGATGTTATAACCTGAAACTCGACACAGAAATCCAGTTAATATCCAGTATCCAAATATTAGCACATTGATAATGGGTGGGTCTTTCTGAAACCATTCAACGATTTTTAAAAGCTGGCTTAAAATATTAAAATATTTTCCATTTTAGAGTTAGTCTCTGTTAATAAAACTTATCTATAATCCTGTTGAATAACAGCTTGTCAGTGGAGTTTCTCCAATAAAAAATTTTTAAAAAGTAATTCTAATTAGATAGTTGAAAAAGATTCTGCATTCTGCTTTTTCCCTGAATTGACTTATGAATTTTATTATATACACTCAGAAATGACATAGTGATAGCTGAGTAACATTTGCCCATAATATTGTATCATGATAGCATAATAATGTATATCATAATGGCAGATAAAAATACCGTAATTAATCTAGCCATTTCTCTATGGTAGATACTTAGTTACAGACTTTCCCAGTGATGAAATTAGTAACAGCTAACATTTTTGAGCACTTAATGTGGGCTAAGCAACACTAACTGTTTTTGTATCAACTCTTTTAACCTTCATAAGGATCTTGGGTCCATTATTATTCCTACTTTAGAGATGTGGAAAGTGGGTACTACCAAGTTGACTAACATTCCCAGGGTCAATTGCTGGTAAGCGGCAGAGCCAAAGTTTCAACCAGATATTCTCATATCCAAATAGAGCCTCCTTTCTGCCTTGTTGTGCCCCAGGTTATACCAAGATTTGCCTAAGAACTCAGTTTAAATAAAAGATTCAGCCTGTATGTGCAAATCCATAAACTAAAAAATATGTAAAACTAAAGTGTATTGAAAATTTAGAGTTTTCTCCTTGTTCCAGTAAGTATAAAATTGCGGATTTATTGTAAGTTCTTTAAATTTCAAGAGCTATCAACTCATAGATAGTAGTGCAATTATGTTACAAGGTAAACATCCTTAAAGAAAATATCTATTTTTATTCATTAAATATTGGAAATCATCCACTGCCATACCTAAATCACTTTTTTCTGTTCCTTTACATTGTTATGTTTCGTTTTTAAACATCCAAATATACATGGACTTTTATTTTTAGTTTTGTTTTCATGTACCATTTAAAGTTGCATCTTTGGGTTAGTTTGGTTGGGGCTGAATCAGCCTTACTAACTCCCGTGGAGGTCAGGAGGAGGAGGAGGCAAAAGGGCAAGGGCATTGATTACATGGAAAACGGTGACGCACTTGAACACACAGAGACTCATCTCTTTCCCGTCTCTATTCTCACAGAATGTGCGACACAGGAGAAGGACTATTCACTTTTCAAACAAGGGAAGGAGAAATGATCTATCAGAAGGTCCATTCTGCGACACTGGCCATAGCTGAGCAACATGAAAGATTAATGCTAGAGATGGAGCAGAAGGCCCGGGTAAGGCCCTTTCCCTGGTAACCTATCAGCTTGGAAATGAATGTCTCTGAGGTCTGATGTGCAACATGGATGCGTCGGGCCATTCATACCAGTGCCTCGGTGTCCACCCTGCCCTGATCCTGACGACTTACCCTACCCTGTCATCTCTCTAGTATCCTACTCAATATGTCACAGAAGTTATTTGTGGCCACCAACTCTGAGCCCTGCACTTCTGGCATCTACCTGTGTAAGCCCTGTTGCCTTGGATGTCAAAGAGAGTGGCTTGCATAATCAAATAAGAAGCAATGTTGTCTGCATGTCCCCACATACAGTTGGACAATCTGAGATTTAAATACGGGCTCAAAATAACTAGGAAGATTAAGTTCTCACCAGAAAGGGTTCCATTTTTTTAAATTTTTATGTTTATCCTAGGTGCTGTAAAACTTCTGGCTCTTTCTGTGTATATATAATAAAATGTTTGCAGAAGGAGCTTATGCCAGTTGCCAACAGAATAATTTGTCTATTGTCTTGTCCTGGAACTGTATTCCAGTTTTAGGATCAAGCTAAAAAATAATCCAGTAAATAATCTAAAGTAGTAAATTCTATCAATATGACTAGCTAAAAAATAAGCTTTACTGCCAATTTGCTTAAAAAGCAAACAGTGGAATGACTATTGATTATAATCTTAAGAGATGAGTATTAACTTTCTAGGATTTATAAAGATGCGTTAGAGTTTGTCTAAGGAAGGACAGTTGGTGTTTGGGAAGCATCTATAATTCTCTTTGTAAAACATCAATAAGCCTATTCTAGTTTAAGACAATGAAGTTTTTTATTACTGTTAGTTTTCATTTCTAAAATTCTATGAAATATTTTGAAGTATAAATTTTTTTAAAGAAAACAAGTAGTTTAAGTGATCACATGTTATTCTAAATGCACTTGTAAGTTTCTCAATACGACATATGTACATCTATCCCTCCATCTGGGGTATGGTTAAAAGAGCTTTCCTAACACCTCAGGAGGAAAAGGGCAACACAGGACATTGGACTCCTCATGGGACTGAAAGAGTAGCTTGAGTTTTAGTAGGATGATTAAGATGTGACTGTGGGAATGGCTGAAGCATCATCAGTCAGAGAGGGCTGGTAAAAATTTTCTAGGAAGACTTGGGTTAACTGTAAATATTCTAACAATTATCTAGTCAATATGACGTTTTTCTAGTGATTAAAATCAGGTGGGAAATATAAGTATCAAATTTCAAATTATTTCAGAGTCATGCGCATTGATCTTCAGCCCATATTTTCAATCTGCTGATTTTCAACCAAAATTAACCATGGGGCTAACCATGATGTCACTTGCTGTTAGTTAGTCTTTGTACTTCTTTACTTATAGTTGTTTTAAACAAGCAAGAACTCAGAGTGATTTCAATTATATTTTAACGATGGAAATTCCAAGAGCTCTTTCACGTACTGCAATTATCTGCCATAAAGAGGAGCACGCCATTGGTGCTCTGGGCTTGTAGCCCAACACCACCACTTACTGGCTGTGCAATCTTGGGCAAGTTATTTAACTCTTGTTTCCTTTATTCATAACAAGGGCATGTAATAGTTCTACCCATTTGGTTGTTACGAGGTTTCTGTGCATTCATCTATATAAAGTGCTGAGAATCAGACCAGGCACACAGAAGTACTATGAAAGCGTTCATTATGATGAGGGTGATGTTGGAGTGACCTTGAATAATTATCAGAGTTGCTATTATGGCTACATAATATCCTTCAAACACTTTCAAGTATTTTGTGCCAAAACATTAGCTAAACAAAATTTAATTAACTTTTGTTCTTGATGTTATATGTTTCTCACGTCCTGTGCCACTGAGAAGAAAGTCAAAAGACTGGAGCCAAGTAACTGCTGTTAATGGCTTGGAGATGAGATAATGGATCCAGTCACTATAACCTCAGGCAGTCTAAAACTAGGGTGTACACCGCAGACATGGGTGCTGGTATCAGTGCTGAGACAGATAGAAGGGAGCGTGCAACAAATGTTTAAACAGCAGGCTCAATAAGGCTCAACAGAGGAACAAAATGTTTCTAGAAATCACAAAATCAGAGACTCCATCACTTGGCACATACATGTCAATAGAGTGCTTGGTTCAATTCCAGAAATGATTTCAGAAGTATGCTTTTCTCTGAAGGTTAATGCTAGTAAGAATTACTCCATGAATAATTTGTTCTTTAAACTTTTTCCCCCCATTTATTTTATCGCATTTTAGGTTTTGGGGTACATGTGAAGAACATGCAAAATTGTTGCATAGGTACACACGTGGCGGTGTGATTTGCTGCCTTCCTCCCCATCACCTACATCTGGCATTTCTCCCCTTGCTATCTCTCCCCAGCTCCCCACCCCCCACTGTCCCTCCCCTATTTCCCCCCAACTGACCCCAGTGTGTATTGCTCCCCTCCCTGTGTCGATGTGTTCTCATTGTTCAACACCCGCCTATGAGTGAGAACATGCGGTGTTTGATCTTCTGCTCTTCTGTCAGTTTGCTGAGAATGATGGTTTCCAGGTTCACCCAAACTCATCGTTTTTGATGGCTGCATAATATTCCATGGTGTATATGTGCCACATTTTCCCTAAACTGAACTAATCCTTTTCCAAGTGCAAGCTGCCTCCAGTTGATAAATGCCTCAATTTCTAAAATTCTACTACCATAAGCCAAGTTTTCCAGTTCTCCCAGATGCAATTTTTTTTTTAAAGATACCTCCTCTACATACACAAAACTGTTGTTTGAGACAGGGTCTCGCTCTGTTACCCAGGCTGGAATGCAGTGGTGTGAACACAGTTCACTGCAGCCTTGACCTCCTGGGTCAAGCGATCCTCCCATCTCAGCCCAACTAGCTGGTACCACAGGCTTGCACCACTACTCTCAGCTAAATTTTGTTTTTTTATAGAGACAAAGTCTTACTATGTTGCCCAGGCTGGTGTTGAACTCCTGGGTTCAAGTGATCCAACCTTCCTTGCCCTCCCAGAGTGCTAGGAATGCAGGCGTGACCACCATGCCCAGCGATAGAAAACACTTTTAAAAAAAACTTCCAACAGGTGTGAAAGAATGTTTAAATACTCTAACTCTTCATTTGCTATTTAAAATACAAAATTATAATTTGAAAGTTGGATAAGCAAACTCAAGTGAGAAATAACGTCTCAACAACCGTTTCTTACTATAAAATGAAGAATATGATCTTTTCATGTCATATAAGACCTTATTTTGTCCTTGTTTATAGCCTTCTTTCTTGGGGGGAGGGGCACATGAATAAACATATTTGACATGTATCCATAGTCTGAAATAGGCCACATTTCTATTTTTGCGTGAATCTGATGTCTAGAAAAATTTCTCAGCATTGTGAGAAAACATTGCATTTGCCACTCAACAGAGTAACTGGATAAAAGAACCACTAAATTGGTAAGATAATTAAAAGTGCATGTTTTGATTTCCTTCATGAGAATGAAAAAATTATTAACTGACAATTAAAATGTTATCTGTTTATTAACCATCCGTAAGACTGTAAAGTGTTTGCTGTATGCTAATACTAAGTACCCTGCAAAGTGGTATAGAGAAATACACGAGAAGAGCAAGAGAGTTCCTTCTCAAGTAGTCCAGAATTGTGTGGGATCAAATAATTTGTTCTGCCCAGAACAAAATAACCCCATGTCCTTTGACTCCTTGAAATATCGAAAGTTTTCCATACCTTTATGTATGGATAAGACATCACCAAATTTTGGTACACGATAAAAACACCACTTGAGCTTGTTCATGTTGTCACAGAAGTAGAACCTGATTTTTTAGATAATCAACTCATTGGAGTCAGCCCTCCATAGAATGAATTTCTGTATTAGAAGATGACATGCTTGCCATTTTGCATACAGATGTATAGCTACAGCTTCTCATTCCTGCCTCTAAGTGAGAATCAAAGTGGTCTTGGCAGAAAAGGAGACAGGAATCTTAAGGAGTCTCTATACCTTCTCCATTTTCAAACTATAAACCAGTCTAATTTTAAGAGTTTTAAGATGCATAGGAGAATTAAGCTAAGGTAATACATACTAAACAGGAACTACTGTTGAGGAATTAATGTGTTTCAAATATTTGAGAAAATGATTGAAGCTAGATATTTGAACAGAATATGTTCATCTCTAGACTGTTTACATTTTATAGAGATCATTCTTGTTCTTAGAGCTAGCAGAATTCTTTGGTTTTGATTGCCAAAAGTGTCTATAGATGGTTTGACATGCATGTGCAACATTATCAAAAAAAGTTTGACATTCTTTGTGATAGAAGCCATTCATTGGAAACTATATCACAAATACACCCATGTGACTTAGCCTGTTAAGGTTGAGTATAGGCTGAAATCGTCATGGACAAGGCCTCAAATGGATTGAAATAATTTTAGATTTTCATCGATCTGTTTTACACACACACACATACAATTCAATGAAAATGCTTTCTTTTTAAATGTGCTTTTATCTTCTTAAGCAATTATAAAATGCTCACATGTAATGAACAGTTGAGAAGACATGAGAAATTGCTTTTTTTATGGTTATAAACTTATCCAACTACTGATTACTAACAGTCTATATTTTTTGTTCAAATACTTGCATGAACTGGAATGTACTATCATATTGCATCAATTTCAAGATACACATTTTTTTCAAATTTTGACATCTCTCAGTTCAAATGAGTTATAGTTTAATCAGCAGCAGTAATCTTTTGTAGTGCTACATAAAATGACATTTTATCTTACAATTGATGGCATCTTAGAGTATATAAAATACAGTATTACTTTTTATAACCACAGAACACATGCTTATTTATAACTTGAACTAAGAAAGCCTTTTCAGGTGAATTCTATCCTCAGCAATTTGGTTTCCATTTTAGTAAAAACATTCTTCTACATTTTACAGGATTTTCTATTAGTATAAAAATTTTTTCTAAATCAAAGATATAAAGAATTTGAAAGCATTATACCCTAATGAGAGTTATACAAATTATTAAGTCTTTGCAGTTCCTTTTCTGGGTATATTCACAGATGTTTAAGAGAGTCTTCGAAAACGCTAAGTGTGTGTGATCGCAAGTGGCAACTGATATTTAATATGTAAGAATAACTGCAAAGTTATTCTTCAGAATTCTATTCATGATTTTATCACTCAGTATTGTCACTATTAATCATAAGATTCAAGCTTTTATGATTGCTGACAGTGATCAGTTTTCTGCCAGGAAATATTATTTGCATATTTGTGATTTTTTTTTAACTGATAGTCATGGATTGTGATGAAAGAACACAAGCTGAATTATTATGGTCAATAATGAAAATGTGAAAATTGATCTGTGATCCAAATTAATTAATTCACTTACTATTGTTCAGTTTCAGAACACTAAAGAAAATTTAGTCTAAACAAACAAAAAAAAAAGACCTCACATGCCAAGCTCGGCGGTGAGCGGTGACTCATGCCTGTAATCCCAGCCCTTTGGGAGGCCGAGACGGGCAGATCACTTTCCTAAAAATGGTAAAAATGCAGAATGTTAGCCAGGCATGGTGATAGACACCTGTAATCCCAGCTACTCGGGAGGCTGAGGCAGAAGAATCACTTGAACCTGGGAGGCAGAGGTTGCAGTGAGCCGAGATCGCGCCTAACCAACAATAGCGAAACTCCGTCTCAAAAACAAAACGAAACAAAACAAACACCCACACATACATACCCTAAGAACAAACACGTATTTCTGCATAAAGATACAAAGGGGGTAGAGATAGTGAGGAAGCAATGTGTAATTTGTCTAAATCAGTCTAATCTCTCATGTGAGTAAAAATTAGACTATGATGTTTTTTCTTAAAATTTATTGTTTCCTTAAAATTTGATACTTTAGATGTCACTTTAGAAAATGTACTTCATGTATATATATATATATATATATATATATATATTATGTATTTCTCAAATGCAATTAAATAGATTAAAGTTGATTCTGTATAATAAAAATGATTTCCTAACACAAAAGATCGCCATCTGTGTTAAAATACAATTTTGTTTATTTACATTGCTGGAACTGAACAATATGAAGAAAGCTGCATAATTGTGGATAGTTTTCATAAATGAAAATATCAGATTTCAAAGGTTAATCAAAATGCCTCAACATACAGACATTATGGCGACATACATATATACAACCCAATGCCTCAGACTATCTTTTCTTTGAAACAATGCTATAAAATTGAAGTGTTTTTAAAATGTAGGCCACTAAAATCTAAGTTGATATAAGCATTGCCTAGAAGGATAATGAAGGCTACTTTCAGTGCATGTGAGCAGAGATGTCAGTTCCTTGGATGTATTCAGTGAACGCAGATGCAGTTTGTAGAAGAAACACAGTAGGATTTAGGAGGTTGATTCTGGGGAAAGACTGCAGCAGAGCGATGTGACCTTCAGCAAGTCACGTACTCTGTTGTAGTTACCTGTAGTTAAAAGATGTTGGGTGAGGTACAACGATATAATATGTACTTCAGAGTGTTAGAAAACCACCTGGTCTTTAGTGAAAAACTCAGTAATTATGAGCTAATTCATAAAATGGCTAGCAAGAAACAATTTAGCTTTCAGTGGGAAAAATTGTTCTAACCATCACTAAAAATTCATCCCAGTTTTCAGTACATGCAGATATTGGAAATTAATTATATGAGCTTAATGATAGCCTCTAAATATTTAGATTTTTAAAATTTTAAAAGAGCCCAAAATTTGAATTTAAATCACTAAAAACTTTAATGTTTCTTACATATTTATCATGTTCCTTATATTCAAAGAGCAGCTCTGTAAATGTGTCCACTTACAAATAAACAGATAAAGAATATACATGTTCTTAAATGCATTACTGATTGCCAATGGAAATGGTGTTGAAAATGAGTTTCTGCTGTTATTCCCAAACTTGGCTTATTTTCAGACTTCCTGAAAATATTTTAGTCCATACATGGTTTAATTTATTCATTTACTCAGACAGATTCTCACTATGTTGCCCAGGATGGAGTACACTGATGTGATCTTGGCCCACTGCAACCTCCACCTCCTGGTTTCAAGGAATTCTCCTGCCTCAGCCTCCCTAGTAGCTGGGATTATAGGCACATACCACCACCCCCAGCTAATTTTTTGTATTTTTACTAGAGACAGGGTTTCACCATGTTTCCCAGGCTGGTCTCAAACTCCTGAGCTCAGGCAATCTGCCCACTTCGGCCTCCCAAAGTGCTAGAATTACAGGCATGAGTCACCAAGCCCGGCCAATACATGATTTGAAATATACAATAACACTCATATTTAGGTTTAATGAAAATATTATCCTGCAAAGTTCAATTAAGTGACATAGGCGGGTGTTGAACAATGAGAAAGATGGACACAGGGAGGGGAGCACTACACACTGGGGTCAGTTGGGGGGAAATAGGGGAGGGAGGGTGGGGGGTGGGGAGATGGGAAGAGATAGCAAGGGGAGAAATGCCAGATGTAGGTGATGGGGAGGAAGGCAGCAAATCACACCGCCACGTGTGTACCTATGCAACAATTTTGCATGTTCTTCACATGTACCCCAAAACCTAAAATGCAATAAAATAAATGGGAAAAAAAATGACATCTAGCACCTTTCATTAAATGATCATCTAAATATTACATTTTATTTGTCATTCTGCTACAGGGTTAGACAGGTATCTTCTAATTCCTTTCCATTTATCTTGAATAAAATAGAAGATTAAGTCTGTGAGAAACCAATTGCCCATAAACCTTCAGACTTCAGAGGACTGTTTAAATGAGTACAAACAGTGCCAAGCATGGCTGGCTGAAGGTCTCTGTGGTCTCTGTTCCCATATGGTTTTCAGGTTTGAGTTCTTTTCCAAGAATAAATAAAACTTACTGTTCTCAACTGAAAGAGCATTTGCATGCAGCATTTTCTTATTAAGCAGTATAACATTTCTTTTTATAACTGACATACATTTCACGTGTCACATTGCATGTTTCTGTTCACTTGTACCTTTGCAATATTTCTTTATTTAAAGTTATTTTTTCACCCAGTCCCTCTTGTGTCAGTCATACCAGGGAACATGCTGGCAGATGCACCTAGAGGCATTCCTTAACTCTCTTCATCATACAGAGAAAGCTATGGTTAACCCTTTCCAGCTTACAATGCACGCACATGAACACACATTCTGCTACTATTGTCTCACTTGTCTCTCTGTTTCACTTTTCCCCACCTACTCATATTGATCAGCTATTCCTCATATTCATTTGGGGGGTTGTATTTCTATTTGCTAATTAGGCTTAGATCAAATTGTATGTCTGTCTTCATTGTCATTCCTTTAACACCTCAATTTGGATAAATTTTCATGTCTTGGCCACATATCCACACATAGACCCCTTTGCTGTCTGCCACTTCTTCCATGCAGGAGTAGAAATTCCAAAGCAGCAGTCTTTACCAAGCACTTAACACGTGACAAACACTATGCTTTTCACTCCAATATGCTTTTCACTCCAAAAGTATATCTTATATAATATTTATGACACTTAAAGGTACATTACCTTGACTCCAGTTTAAAGATGAGAAACCGAATCTTAAAAATTATGTGCCTTCCTGAGGTCAAATTAGGAGGCAGCTGTGGAGTTGTCATCTGGTAACACATTGGTGGAAAGCAAAACTCATGTGCTTAACTACCTTCTGATTCTGCCATGCACACTGGGCATTCTGTCTTAAATGTGAGAAAGAGGCACTCACATTTCTGCTCTGGTTTTGTGAAATTTACTCAGTTGGTGTAATTCTCATCTGTATCCTGAAGAAGAGATCCAGTAATTTATTCTACAGTGAGTCATGGGGAAGAGGGAAGAACATCAGGACTCTGAAACCTCAGAACCATCACTCAATGGCTATGTCACCATGAACAAATTATATTATCCCTCTGCACTTCATTGTCCTTGTCTGTAAAGTTCAGATGGCATATTTGTTGAAAATTTATGTGAATATTCAGTGGTATAACATATGAAACCAATTTGCACATTGCCAGGCACATAGAGAATAGCTCATAAATGTCAATTTATAAATGCTAAATTTCTTGTCTGTTGTATATAGATTTGTCTCAACTGCTAATCCAACTTGTAAATTTTTAAGCAATCATTAGAGAGGTAAAGAGCAAAAGGAAAGTCAGTTGACAGTTTTTGATACAAATGAATTTTATATAAGTGAACACAGATTAGCATCAATGTCCATCACAGGGGCAAGCAAAGCCTCAAATCGACAAAGGAAAAAATTTCAAAGACAGTAAGATTACCTAGATCATATTTTCGGTAAAAGCATGACGAGGTGTGGGTTGCCAATACCTTCATAAAATTCCCAACGCTTGTTAGGCCCACCTGTTTCCTCCTGGTAACTTAGGTCCTCTCAAAGGGAGAGGCTGGATGTTCACATTGCAATATATTGGGGAAGAAGCTCTTTCTTTTTTTCAGAAGATATCAGCATCAAAGTCTAAAGAGCAATGGGCTCAGAGTCTAGAGAACTGTTTTCTATTGGGAGCTCTGTAGTTAAGATTGTACCTTGAGAAAATTCTTGAATTTTTCTGCATACTGAGTTCCCATCTGTAAGAAAATTGCTAGGGAGGAGGAGATCCAAGATGGCCGTTTAGGAACAGCTCAGGATTGCAGCTCCCAGTGAAAGCGCAGAGGGTGAGTGGACGCCGCGTTTTTATTGCCCACAGACTAGGAAATTCCCGGGCAGAGGTGCTCCACGCTCACCAGCGCGGCTGTCGTGGCCAGCACGGCTGTGCCGGCCGGCGCCGCTGCTTTGCCCCGCGCGGCTGCTTTGTCGGCGCCCCAGAGCCGCGGTTCTCCGTACAAAATACACCGGTCCGGGTGCCCTTTTGGCTGGCGATTGGAGCCACGGGAAGTCGCCCATATGCTGGTTCAAAAAGGGGAATGAGCAGAGAACC